GCTGCGCTTGGTGGACGGAGCCGCCGAAAAAGATTATTCAGCCATGCCGCCCGTTGAGGACTTGGTCGCCGCACACCTCTGCCCGCCCTCTGCTAGATGCCGCTCTTCCCCCACGCTTCCTTCGAAAGCTTGCAGAGCGACCTCGAGCTTTCATGCTCGCGCCTATGCCGCCGCCGGTCAGGCCGCCGCAGCGCTGCATTCTATGTCTGTCCTCCAAGTGCTACAGAGCGATATTCTCCGTGAGTGGGCCGAGAGCGGTAGAAACCCCCCCTCCGCTGTCACGGATCTGAGAAGTGCTACGGACCTCGCCCTTCGCGCCACTAAAGCCGCCGCACAAGCTCTGGGGAGATGCATGGCCAGCCTTTGTGTATCCGAGAGACACTTATGGCTCACGCTCGCCGACATGGGAGATTCTGAGCGCGCCGCGTTTCTTAACGCGCCCCTCTCCCCGACGGGCCTTTTTGGATCTGCTGTCACGGGAATCGTCGATCGCTTTTCCGAGGTCCAGAAAGCCACTCAGGCCATGAATTTGTTTCTGCCCCGCCGCGCTAGCTCTTCCGCAGGCCGCTCTCGCGAGCCTCCTGCCAGAGCTCCACCACAGCGCCCTCCTCCGCAGACTCAAACAGCCCAGCGCAGACAGGGCGGCCGCCCTCGCTCTCGCTCTGACAGCCGCCGCAGACCGCCGCCCCCACGGGGCCCGCGACCCAAGATCACGCTGAAGCCTGATCATCAGAAGTCTGCCTAGCAAAGTTAAGAAAACGACGGCGCTCTCCCGCTGCGGCCGGACCGCCGTCAAAGCTTCGCCCTCTGCCAGTCCCCGTTGTTTCGCCGACTGCTGTAGTGTTTACCGCCACAAACAAGCCGGTGTCCCAGCCCGCTTGCGAGCGACAAAAAGCCGTTTTCACGGCTACCCAGAGAAATCTCAAAAAGAGAAAATATGCCAGTTGTGTAGAAAATGTGCCCACAATCATGTGTTCACCCATACACACAAGCATAACATATCCCGTGTCTCTCTCAGAGCCCCCCCACATGAAACGGGCACAGCCCGCTCTAGTATCAGAGAACATAAACACGCCCACGAGCTCATGCGCGTGTCCCCTCTCTGCTCGCTCTGTTTCACGGCCCATAGACTCCTCTCTGAGTGCAAGTCCCGTTGCCACACACATTCAAAGCGCGCCCACACACTGTGTCCAGCCCGCTATGTGCAGCAATCAGGGCGATATAGCCATTCGGCCACTAGCCGCATGCTCCAAAGCGTGGGAAGCCATTCCAGGCATTTCCCCGTGGGTGCTAAGCATTATAAAGAACGGCTATCTGCTACAGTTTCGCCGCCGCCCGCCTCGTGCGCGCGCTCGGCTCGAATCTACTGTCAGCCCGCTGGCCGCCGGCACGCTCCGCTCAGAAATTGCGACGCTGTTGCAAAAGGGCGCCATAGAGAGAGTCCCGCCATCTATGACCGAGTCGGGGTTTTACGGCCGTTATTTTCTGGTTCCCAAGAAAGACGGCGGCCTCAGACCGATTTTAGATCTCAGGTTTTTGAACAAAGTGCTCATGAAGAGACCGTTCAAGATGCTCACTACCAGGAAACTCCTCGCGCAGGTGCGCCAGGGGGACTGGTTCATCTCTCTAGACCTGAAAGACGCCTATTTTCAGATCCAGATAAATCCCCGTCACAGGCCATTCTTACGTTTCGCCTTCGAGGGTCATGTTTATCAATACGCCGTTCTCCCGTTCGGCTTATCCCTGGCGCCCCGTACATTCACGAAGTGCATGGATACGGCGCTCGCCCCCCTGCGGAGCCAGGGGCTGCGCATATTGAATTATCTGGACGACTGGCTGATTTTGGCTCAATCACAGACGGAGCTTCTGTCGCACCGCGCAGTTCTCCTCGACCATCTGAAAACGCTGGGCCTCTCTGTCAACTGGACAAAGAGCTCCCTTCAACCCAGTCAATCGATTTCCTTTCTAGGAATAGATTTGAACTCGGTCACGATGACGGCTCGCCTGTCCACACAGCGCGCGCGCAGTGTTCAGCGACTAGCCGCCTCGTTTCAGATGGGCACCCGCACACCTCTGAAAACTTTTCAGAGGATGCTGGGTTACATGGCCTCAGCCTCCGCTGTGCTTCAGCTGGGCCTTCTGCACATGCGCCCGCTTCAGCTTTGGTTAAACAGCCGTGTACCCCACCGCGCGTGGAACACGGGCCGCCAGCTGATCTGGGTTACGCAGACATGTCTCACGGCGCTGCAGCCATGGACAGTAGCAGAATGGTTTTGGCAAGGCGTCACGATGGGGACCTTTTCCCGCCGAAAAGTCATCTCGACAGATGCATCCAACACGGGTTGGGGTGCAGTCTGCGAGGGCTCACCGGCCTTCGGCCATTGGTCGACACAGGAAAGCCCCTTACAGATAAACTGTCTGGAAATGCTTGCGGTCGAGAACGCGCTCTCGCGCTTCCTCCCGCTCATTCGGGGACACCACGTCCTGATCCGTTCGGACAACATGGCTGTGGTCTCCTATCTCAACCGTCAGGGCGGTGTCAGATCCAGGAATCTCTTCCTACTGACACACCGCATTCTAGTTTGGTCTCAGAGCCGCCTGCTCTCGCTCAGAGCGACGCATGTGCCGGGCCATCTGAACGACGGTCCAGACATACTGTCCAGGAACCTCATCTCCACAGGAGAATGGTCCCTGAACACACAAACGGTCCAAATACTGTGGCGGCTATTCGGCAGAGCAGAAGTGGACCTCTTCGCGTCAGAAGAGAACGCTCACTGCCCAATATTTTTTTCAAGGAGCGAGGACGCGCTAGCCCAGGAATGGCCTCGCCGCCCGCTCTTTGCATTCCCTCCGATCGCTCTGCTACCGCAGGTAATTCAGAGGATCAGGGACACACGCCACTCGGTGCTCCTCATAGCCCCGCGTTGGGAGAGTCAGAATTGGGTTCCGGAGCTCACTCAGCTGTCACAGACAGGCCCGTGGCCCATCCCAGTCAGAGCAGATCTCCTCTCTCAAGCTCGCGGCACGATCTGGCACCCCCATCCACGGCGCTGGGCGCTACATGCATGGGTGATCAACGACTATTCGTCGATTTGCCAGAGGGAGTAAGAAACACTATCATACAGGCTAGAGCACCTTCCACGAGAAGGCTCTATGCGTCTAAATGGTCTGTGTTCTCAAAATGGTGCACCGACAAACATCTGGACCCACGGTCATGCGAGGTGCCGTCTTTGCTTGTTTTCCTTCAAGAGATGCTGGACAAGGGCAGGTCCCCCTCCACTCTCAAGGTTTACGTGGCAGCCATCGCGGCGTTCTCTGAACCCCGACGCGCTCAGTCCCTGGGCAAAGACGAGTTAGTCATCCGCTTCCTCAGGGGAGCTAAGAGGATGAACCCTCCGCGCCCCCCTTCGGTTCCTATCTGGGATCTTTCTATAGTTCTCGAAGCTATGAAAGCACCCCAGTTCGAACCGCTCGAGTCTGTGGACCTAAAATACCTCTCGCTCAAAACCGTTTTTCTGACGGCTCTGTCCTCAGTAAAACGCGTGGGGGATCTTCACGCGCTCTCATCCAGCGCCGCGTGTCTTGAGTTTGGACCGAATGATTCTGTTGTCATTCTCAAACCTAGGCATGGCTATGTCCCGAAGGCGATTGGTACCCCGTTCAGGGCTCAGATTATTTCCCTATCGGCTCTACCTTCATCCGATAGTGAGCGCGACGCCAATCTCCTCTGCCCGGTGCGGGCTCTGAGATTGTACACTACGCGCGCTGCCGCGTTCAGACGCGCTGAGCAGCTTTTCGTGTCGTTTGGGGGGCGCACCAAAGGTCTGGCCGCCTCTAAACAGACACTGTCTAGATGGATAGTGGACGCTATCGCCTCTGCTTACGCATCTAAATGCCTGCCCTGCCCTCTGGGCATCAAGGCGCACTCCACTAGAGGCATGGCCTCATCGTGGGCATGGTCCTGTGGAATTTCCATTCATGACATTTGTGTGGCCGCGGGATGGGCCTCCCCGTCCACTTTTGTCAGATTTTACAACTTGGAAGTTCCCGCCTTGCAGGCGAAATTACTAGCTGTCTAACGATCAGCTCCCTAAGAAGCTGCATTACTGGGAGTCCCTCACACAACCGGTTCGCCCCTTGTGCTCCCCTTAGATGCTTATGTATACACTTCATGTGCCCGCTCTGCCGGCCTCATATTACATTCACTCCACGTTAAAAATCCCCCGGTATCACCCCGGGATTCATGAGTGGATTCATGGCGCGCACGGCGTTGACCAGGTGTTCCCGCAGCGTAAGCTAGCTTACGCAATACGAGAGAACCTCTCGTAAGAGAACGAAACGGTTACCTAACGTAACCTCGGTTCTCTCTAGATGAGGGAACGAGTATTGCGTTCCCGGCCGTGCTTGCGCTACTAGCGTTTCGCTTCACGCTGAAATAAATCAACATATAAGCCTGGGAGAGACTGTTATATACACCATAGCCACGCCCATTCTGGCGGGCCATGATGCAATGAGCGCGCGGGCGCTTCTCATTGGCAGCGGGTTCAGCCCCGCTCTCCCATAGGCTTAAGCAGTTCTCTCTGAGCGAACCAATGAGCTGCTAGCTAGCCTGCTCAAGGTCTGCCGCAGAGGAACTGCGTTGTCAATGGATACAAATTATGAAATAATTTTTTGGCTTCAAACTCTCAGCAAAGATGAATCTTTCCCGCAGCGTAAGCTAGCTTACGCAATACTCGTTCCCTCATCTAGAGAGAACCGAGGTTACGTTAGGTAACCAATTCGTTTTAAGGGATAAAATTGACTAAAGGGGCACTTTAAGAGTTGTGAGTTGTTTAAATGACATGATCTAGGACCTTTATCCTCTATCCGTCATGACCTCGTTTTCATATGTATTAAATTCAATATGGCGTCTAACCTGCTCTTCATGTGCACATTTACACTGGAACTTTTCTCTGGAAGTATTTTCCTATTCACAGACTTTTCTTTCCTTACATTTTTAGTCCTCTGAGACCCTGCCTGTAAACGTGACAACAGAAAACAGCAGCAGGGCTGTACTGAACCAGCTTCCCAGCAGATGCCCACGGGACACCGCGAAAAACCACTATAGTCAGTGTGACTCAACTGGAAAACACACTGAAAAGAAAGAGAGACCCAGATCTCTTGCCCCAAAAGACTGGACTTCCTCCAACTTGGCAACTCTGTCCTCTTCCTCTTCCACAATTGTTCACTTTACTCACATCCAGTCACAGTCTACACTTCCAAGACCAAGGCTTGTACCAATCTTCAAAAACAAATCATACACCCACCGTATGAACACGACTGAGATCCTTGTGAAAGAACAGAAGCTAAAAGCAGTCATCAAGCCCCTGTCACCGACTCGTCTGTCATCGTCTTTCACACCACCAGCTCGTTCTAACCAGTTCTCCAGGCCTCCAGCCCCTGGGCGGATGTCTTTACCATTTTTTAAGAGTAAGGAAAAAAACGATAGGATTCTCCCACCCCTGCCTTTAGTACAGACACAGCTCCAAACCTTGCCTGAGATCCCCAGCAATAGAGGGGTAAGTATCAATGCAACCAAACAGCAGTTTATTTGTGCTGTAAATCAGAATGATACCTGTTCGATTCCTAAGCAGTTTGACTAAAAGAGAACCTAAAATGCTGTTTTACAATTTCAATGTTGCTGTAAGAGTAAGGAAAAAACCAACAGCGGAGTCGATAGGATTCTCCCACCCCTGCCTTTAGTACAGACACAGACCCAAAACTGGCCTGAGATCCCCAGCAATAGAGGGGTAAGTATCAATGCAACCAAACAGCAGTTTGACTAAAAGAGAACCTATAATGCTTTTTTACATTGTCATTGTTGCTGTTTGAGCATGAAAAAGCTCTGCAAAGTTACAAAAAACCCTCCAGCTGGAGTTATTCTCTAAATCAGTGTCACCGTTTCTGAACTCCATGAAACATCTTCATTGTAGTCTTGAGGTTTGCATACGCAAAATAAAGGGGCGGGGCCTGGTTAAGTTAGCTAGTAGTGTGTTGATTTTTTAATTTTTTTTATTATTTAACCTTTATTTAACCAGGTTTGTCTCATTGAGATATAAAATCTCTTTTTCAAGAGAGACCTGGCCAAGATAGCAGAACAAATTAGGTCACACAATCGCAAAACAAACACAAGAGGCAAAGACAACTCAAGTACATTTCATTTTAAAATAAAAGTGCCTTTAATTAAAACATTTGCAAGTGTGGATGGATTCATATTCTATAGTTTTAACATAACTTTTAAAATCATTTAAGGAAATTAGACACTAGTTTAAGTGTGAAACTGGCTGAAACTGGCTGTTATGGTAAGGGGCGGGACATTTCCCAAACACGCTCGAAGAGCTTGACCAATCACAACACACTGATCCAGCCGACCAATCAGAGCACAGTGTTCTTTTCAGAAGGAGGGGCTTCATAGAGACAAGAACTATGGGGTGCGTTTCCCGAAAGCAACGTTAGCCAACTATGGTTGCAAGTTCCGTCATTATCAGCAGTTCAACGACTGTGTTTCCCGAAACCATCGTTCCAACGAACATTCGCAAACAGCATCGCAGAGGTGTGTGTTTGAGCGACAGCTCTCGGCCTGTGGTTAGAAGCAGTTTCTTCTTTGCATGACATGTGGACTCAATAAATCCTTATCTTGAGCAAAATAAGCAAGCTGACATTCAGTATAACCTGTGTCTTTTATTTAGAATACATACAAATGTCATTTACGTCTTTTTGTTTGTCAAGAGATTTAAAGCACTGTTTTTGAAGACTGCGCATGTGTGAACGTGCTCTAGTGCGTAAGAACGAGCCTATGATTGAATCTGGAAATAAAGCAAAATAACTGAGAAAAATGAGAAATATCCCTCAGATTCCATGCCCGTAATTTATAGCAAAACATCTAGCATTAATTCGATCTCAAACAGTTTCATTAAAAGTAGTTATTACTCCACCACCTGCGTGACATCATTAACCAATATGGTTGAACGACCAATGTTCGACAATACGGTTTCGGGAAACAGTCGTGACTAGCTAGTTGATTTCTTCAATGATGCATCGTACTATGGTAGTGAAGCAGTGAGTTATGTCGCTGTACGGGAAACACACACCAGAGCGTTACTGACATACTGGAAAGAAATGTGCTGCAACAATGTCAAATATGTGAAAAATAATGTGTTTTTTGAACATTCAAGCATGAAAAACTATTCTAGTAGAGCCCAAAAACAAAATCAAGACTTTGTAAAAAGACATAATATGGCCTCTTTAAAAAACAATTCCATAAGTTTTGCACTGACAAACACCACTCACATTTTCCTACTTAGAAAATGTACAAATTTGGTGTCTAAGTTGCTGTATTTCTCATGGGACATCTTACACAGTCCATTGAGGGCAAAGATTTAGCAAGTCTAGGCAAATTAACTGGTGTAGTTTTCCAAAAATAATTGATGAACCTACATGAATGATTAAATATGGGTTGTAAAGAAAGACGTGCAGTGCTTCTAATGGATCCTCTCTCACCATCTTTCAGGGAGACAAGTTTGAGTCAAAACCGAAGAAGGCCAAACAAAGTGTGCAGGATGTGTGTGTGGAAGTGTATGCGACGAACAATCAGGTACTTATAATGTTTAGTATAGAAATATGAATCATCTTTAAAACTCAATCAATAAGCCGTTTAGTTTCAGTGTTGGTGTAGTTACTGGTTCATCTTAGCAAGGCAGAATAGTTAGCTAAATAACAGCCGAGTGACTGCTCATTGGCACCTATAATATAAATGAGATCCTTTACAAGCCTGGCATGTGTTCATGGTCTTGTTTGAAAGTCATTGAGAGAGGATGAGCTCGTATATTTTCTTTATGATGGAGGCTACTAACAGGTGCAAGCCACATAAAAACCCATACATATCTTTCATCTGTATTATATGTATTGTTCCATGTTATGGCTTGATGGCTGCCCTTGGAAAGTATGAACAAAAATAAATGTACAGCGAGTTTTGCATCAAGATGCACTTTGTTCAAAAGTTTGGATTCTTTTTAAAATAAATTATTAAATTAATCCGAGTGAATGCATTACGTGTTAGAAAACATGATACAAAAGATTTATATTTCAATTAATGCTGTTCTTTTGAACTCTATTCATCAATGAATCCTGAATAATTTATCAGGGTTTCCACAAAAATGTAAGCATCACAACTTATTTCAACATTATTAATAATCACAAATGAGCAGCAAATCAGCATATTAGAGTGATTTCTGAAGGATCATGTGACACTGAAGACTGGAGTAATGATGCTTAAAATTCAGCTTTGATCACAGGAATAAATTGCAGTTAAAACAGCTATTTTTATCACGATATTTCCTTTTTTACTGTATTGACTTTATTTTACCGTGTATCCTTGATAAGCATAAGAAACGTCTTTTTCAGAAATATAAAAATATCTTAGATTCACACAAGATTTACTTGCCCCAAACATTGATTGTACATTTCAAATAATCATTCCTCAATTTAAATATTTTAGATAAGTGTATAATACTTAATGCTACCATAAAATTAAAGCACTTATTGCTCAGTTTAGCATATTTGTACCATATTTAAATCCATGTTTTAGAAGATCATTGCAAACGGGAAACAATTCTGTAGATTCTGTCTTGTTATTTATTCCGGTTTTAAATATAAATCAGTTCTAGAGCTGTATATGAAAGTAAAAGTGAATAAGCTGTAACCCAGTAACCAAGAGGTTTATTTATATTTTCTGTTTTCAGCTCTCAAAGGTCAAAGTAGTGACTCTGCAGGCATGGTTGAAGAGTCGAGGGATCAGTGTGAGTGCAAGGGATAAGAAAGATTTGCTAGTGTCAAAGGTTATGCAATGTCTGAGTGAAACTTAGGTGTGTTGGATTGGGTTACTCACCAAAAAAAACACACTATAGAGACCTTGCATACTGAGTTTTTGTTCCATTGATAAACTCTGTTGACACTGACAGTTCAATACGATTGCCATGATTTACTACATGTTCATAACACATTTGGCTACTGCCTTTTTCAAGTAAGACTTTGTAAGCTAAAATCTGTTGTTTAATTGGATCTAGAGTTTAGAGAGAGAGATCCAGATAAAGAAAAAATATGCAAGTCTTTCTTTGTAATAGTGGTCCTTTTTTGTTAGCATGATGGTCATGTGTCAACAATCAAACTTACCATTACATTTAGTGCAGTTATTTATTCTAACTCGGTGCTCTGACTTTAATCAGACCCAGAGGTCCTTGTCTCAGATATTTCTTCTAATATTCTTTAGAAGTAAAATTGGACACAAATGAGATGATTATTGACATACAGTATGAGTTTAGAGCTATATAGTTTATGAAGATAACAGCTCAGAGGAATTTAATGCTAGAATTAATCTTGAAATCTCTTCTTTTGATTGCAGACTCCAGAATTTTGGCAAATGTCTTTTGTCTTTGGGAGTTTTCTATAATCTCATCTCATATGAGATCTAAACGAGGCATATGTGAGGCATACTCAGTGATCTTGCTAGCCTGGTTAAAACCAGACCATTCTCAGTTGTAACTGAGTTATGGTCTGGCAAAGCTTCATAGACAAATCATTTCCAAAGGGGCGTCACCAACGGACGTCGCTCAAATGCCTCTGGGCGCAATTGGATAGACCTAAAACCAATCAGAGCGCTGAAGGAGAACAACTTAGTTTGAATAAACGAGCAGACACTGATTAGCTACTTGCTCTACGTTTATTTAAAATTAACAGCAAGACAGCTAGAAGTGAATGTGCTTTCCATGAAAGAAATCACACACAGTAAACAAAACCTTAACAAAAAAAACTTTGCAATTTAGACGCGCAAACTGCGTGCCGGTGCGGTGAGACGTACATCTCGGGCAGATTCGGCTTGAAGTTGTTCATCCTCGGACGCGGCGCCGCATGCGACTTTGCGACGCATGCGAGTCATTTTTGCCGCGCGGACTTTCTCGCTCGTGCGGACGCGTCGAGTATAAACAAGGCATTACTCCGTGTCAGCGCGCGCTCTGATCGGAGGCGGTCACCGTGATTTTGCCAAGTAAGACATGGTCCTGGATCAACATATTTTGTTTATCCTGGATCAACATTCCTGTCCCAAAATGTAGTCCTTACCCAATCCCTACCCCTAAACCTAACCCTACCCATAACTTTTCCCTAAAATCAGAGGGTAATGATAGGTGAATAACACTGATGTTTAAGTACTTAACCCTGGTTCTAAACCTAAACTTGACATAAACGGTAAACTTGTCCCTCAAATCTGATTGGTTGATTGGAAAGTTGATCCAGGATAAACAACGATGTTGATCCAGGAACATGTGGTACTTGGTGAAATCACGTTCACCGATCGGGTCCACAGACCTCTCCCGAATCATCTCCAGCACTCCGCCTCCGTTTCCCTCGTAAGCTGATATTAGTGTTTAAACATTCTCTATGATAAAAATTTTTTGTGAAAAAAATATTTTAATAACATGGTTTTGGCGGTTATAGAGTTCTAATGACGGTGTTCAACTATAACCAGTAGCGTACCGTGGGGTTTCAGTCAGGTCCTTCAGTAACGACCCAGCCCCACCCCCCACCCCCGCGGAAAACGTGTGCATGCTAGAAATAAAACCGACGCCTATTTTTCACGCGACACGCAAGCGTGTTTGAAGCGTTTCCAGGCAAAATAGAATAGGAAAAGATGTTTATGTTATTTATTTTGTACACGAATACATATTAATACAGGGTACCCGCGGGTCTTAAAAGCCTTGAAAAAGTCTTGAATTTGATCATCTCAAATTAAGGCCTTAAAAGCCTTGAATTTTGTATACCAAGTCTTGGATTTCGTTACAAAGGTCTTATTTATGTTTTTGCCTTTGCTAGGATTAAGTTCATACCGTAACTAAATTAACTGTTACTAATGTAGGCTAATTCAAAATGTATGCAACGTTGAGTCAGAGACAATTTTGGTTGAGTGCACCTCGCGCTCCACGTCATAGCAGAAAAAGCGATCGCGTGCGCACCCGTTATTATGGTTACTAGGCAAGTGAGGTACAGAACAAGATAGTACCTAGCCTAGTTTAATCCGCTGTGGCCACAAATGACAGAATTTAAACCCCAAATACGAGCTTTTCTGTTAAAAGAACATATTTTCTACCCGGTCTTTTCAATAGTATCTGGCAACCATGCGCACGCTCTCTCTCTACACTGCTGAAGCGCGGATTATCTGAAAACACAGACAAGCTGGTTGGCAACAGTTGGCATTCAGCGATCTTTATTTAAAATATTGTACTTAAATTAAAGTGTCTTCCAGTCGGTCTGTGTTCTGTCACGAGCCGCTTGCGCTGTTTGTGCGACTAAATCTGCGATCAAAATGCAGGCTGATATATCCACCAGTGTTCATACGAGCAAGAATGCAATGTTTCCCGAATATCCACACGATTTCAAATGTGACATTGATTTTATACAACAGTAAAAAAGAAAAGAAAAAAGGGTAACATTAAGTGATGTACTACATTTAAAACAGCATTGTCAGGCTTATTGCTCTGTTTTGCAACGAAATATGTGGCTTTGAACGAATCGTGAGATCCAATTAATGAATGACTCAAAGACTCACTCATAAAGATAGGGAGTTACCGCCACCTACTGGCAATTTTAATGTTTTTTAACATTGCAAATTTAATGAACATTGTTTTATTTAAAGCATTATTTCTGTCTTTTTTAAAGGTATTACAATGGTAAAAAAGGGATAATTATGTGGAACTGCACAAGTGCTACTGCTAAAGTCGTGCAATGTCAATAATTTCTCATAAGCCTAATTGAATTGGCCTAGAGAGAATAATTCAGGGTAGCCGCGGGGTCTTAAAAGTCTTAAAAAGGTCTTAAATTTCATGTTCCTAAATTAAGGCCTTAAAAAGTCTTAAATTCCATTGCCAAGTCTTAATTTTTTAAACGAATGTCTTAAATTTCATTATACTAGCCTTATTCAAGGTGAAATGGGGGGGAGGGAAACCAGTCCCTCCATGTCGCGATCGCAACTATTAATGCAACTTCAACAAATCCCCGTGAATTCAGTGCGCCTTGCAATTTTGACCAATCACCGCAACTTTTCTGCAACTTTGACCAATCATCGCGGTCTCCTGCAAAGCGTCATCATACGTCATCAAACTCACTTCTTTGTTTTGTTCAGAAGACGTAGCAGACATGTGTGCTGCCAACGTCTCACATTTACCTACAAAAATAACAGCGAGTGAGAGGCGCGATCGAAATGTGTGTGTGTGTGTGTGTGAGAGAGAGAGAGAGAGAGAGGCGCGGGCGCGATCGGACTGTGTGTGTGTGTGAGTGAGAGAGACAGATCGAACTGTGTGTGTGTGAGGCGCGGGCGCGATCGAACAGTGGAAACATAAAAACATACTCCGTCATTTAAGTGTTTACTTATTTGTTTACACTCAATAAAACACAACGTTGTGCTTTTGTCGCACTCTAAACTCTTGTCAAACTGTAACCTACAAAGGAAGCAAGATGACTGAACTTATTGTAAAATCTAACGCTTTCAGAAGGAGCCACAAAGACAAACTGGCTGAGCTTAAGAATATAGACGAAGAGATTGTTGCCAAAGGTGTTGAGCTAAGAAACTTGTAGCTACTAAGTGATTTGATGTTGTTGTGATGTACTGAAAACTCTCTCTCCTATCTACCTCTCTCGCTCTCCTATCTATCTATTGCTCTCTCTCTTTCTAATATCTGTCTATTGGTCTCTCTCTCTCCTGTCTCCTATCTAATCTGTCTATCTGTTAGTTTATCTGTTTATTGTTATGAATGTTTGAAATTTACCAAAAACATTGTGTTAAATTATTTTTTTATAATAAATGTATTTTTAATTAAAACATTTGTTAGTAATAGTCATTATTGGGATTTGATCTGGTGTTTTACGGCTGCATAATGGGTGCGATGTAGGTCTTAATTTTCATTAAAGTGGTCTTAAAAAGGTCTTAAAAAAGTCTTAAATTTGGGGTGATCAAACCTGGGGAAACCCTGTAATTATTATGACATTTTCTGTCTAAAGACTACATATAAAATAACTACCAAAAGTAAAGTAACTGCAGTTTGACTAAAAGTGGACAAAAAATGCAAAGACTTTTCGTCAACTACATCTATAAAAAACTGGATGACTCAAATGTGATTAAGACCAATAAACATTTTTGTCTTAAGACTAAATAAAAAATGGCTGCCAAAATTACACTGGCCTACATACACGTGCGCGCTACAATGCTGTTGCGTATGTACTAAATTAATTAAATAAAACATTTTACTTAAATTATCAGTCAAGTAGCCTCCTTGTACATAATTATTTTCTAGGGTTTAAAATGTATACAGATTTGACATTTTCCTCTTATACTTCTGTCGAATGGGTACGAAGTTGGCATTGAATTTCATTTGAAATGGTATTAAAAAGGTCTTAAAAAGCCTTGAATTTAAGTTGGAGAATCCTGGGGGTACCCTGTAATAAATTACATTTTGATGGTTGAAAGTCTAGGTTTTGACAAATTCAGATACAAATATAATTTATAAATAAATAATCAATTTTCAAATATTGCACCTGTCAATACAGAACGAAATATTCTGTAGTCTATTTTGCTGTCAATAGTGCTGACAGTGTCTTTATCAGTAGGCTTTATATTTATGCTTAACATGAAGTAGCCTATATAGTCACCTATGAAGTCACCTAGCAGCAGCGCCGCGTCAGACACGTTTCTGGTGTGCAGACACAGAAAACGCGACGCAGCCGCCATGCAGCTGACACGCAACAGAAACGCCACGCTCACGCCACGCAGCCAGTGTGTCACCGGCCTAACACTCACTCATTACTTGTAAATAAAATACATCCTCCGATCATTTCTGATGAAACGTTCAATGACCTCCTCATGCAGTTGTGCGTCCTGCTAAGCTCCTTATCTATGGCAATAGATGCCATGCAGAGAGTCGTGTTTGTCCAGTTGTATTCCTTAAATACGTTTTGATGCGCTTGAGAGCGGAGAAAGATCGCTCAACTTATGCGGTGGACACTGGAATGGTCGCGATCAAGCATGTGAG